GTGTGTGTGTGTGTGTGTGTGTGTGTGTGTGTGGGTGTCTGTGTGTGTGTTTGTGTGTGTTTGTTTTTTTATTTGACGTAGCCAACCATCTATTGAAAATTTCCAGAGTAAAAGAGCATATGCGCTCGTCATTTTATTTTCCAAAATGATAATAATATGTAGTTTTTGACTAATATCGTTGGTGAGATTTGTAGAAAAATAACGGTGCTTCTGATGTGAGCAATGGATAATTGTCATCGGATGGATTTTTTATTTCAAATGAGAAATCACTCTCTCATCTCTATTAAAAACAAAAAAAGAGAGAAAAGGTAAGAAAAAGAATTGTTAGTCATGAAATTGAATTCTTCCTATTTGAAAGTTGAACATATGGAAGGCACAATTTTGATCATCAAAATCAGTTAAAGTACAAATAAGGAGTGGAAAAGATGAAATTATCAAAGGCAAAATTTTGAAACTAAAAGCGAAGTAATCTGAAATAATCATACCAACTAGATGAAAATTAGAATCCATTAAAGATGTAGTTACTATATTAGAAAAGCGCTAGAGGGGATTTCGTAGCTTGATAACGATAAATCAAAATTCGGCGGGTCCATTTCCGCCACTCACAACCGTTTTGCTTTTTCATCTTGCACGAGACAACGCGTCTTTTTCCCCTCCACATTTCCATTCTACATTTTGTTAAATGGGCTTTTACAGCCAAAACCTGTTTTCTATTGGAAGTTTAGAATGTTCAAAACATATGAAGTATACGTTTTCCGGGTTTTTCATATGTCCGAACACATGTCTCATCCACTTTAAACTTTGGCAAACTTTACAAAGGTTGAAATTTGGACGAATATTTCATATTTGAAGATTTAGATTTCCACCTATCTTAATGATTGAAATAAAATAAATTAAGCCATTTACGTATTACCAATGAAAAAAATTAATAATCAATGTGTGAAATTTTTTGAACTTGAATTCGATTACAACCATGATTACACACATCTGGAAAATTATTCCTCAATAATTTAAAATAATTTAAATTTAAT